AMAACGRAAGTAAGCTTAACCAATTTGAACAAATAATACAAAATGGAAGGGTTGTAGAGGAGCATGAAAWTTTGAAAGGAATAACTAGTAWAATATATAAGATAATAATTRAAATAAAGAAAGGAAAAACAAAAAATAACACCCTCAAGGAGGTCTGGGAAGAAGATTTAGGGATAAAAATAAATGAAACAGAGTGGCAACAATTATGGAGACATAGACATCTAAAAATGTATCAATACGAGTTAAAGAAAATTATTATAAGTTAATATGGAAATGGTACCTAACACCAGTAAGAATAGCACATATAAATAAAAACTATTCAAAAAATTGTTGGAGAGGATGTCAAGAACCAGGAACATATATACATATGTGGTGGCAATGTAAATATGTAAATAATTTTTGGGGGAAAGTATTTAGAGAAATAGAAGATATAATTAACATTAAAATAGAAAGAAGTCCTAGTATAGCTTTATTATCATTATATAATAATAAACAATTGAAAACAGAGGATAAAGATGCGATAACAAATTTATTAACAATAACAAGACTGCTTATAGCAAGGAACTGGAAAAAAGAAATAAATATACAAATAGAGGAGTGGTATAAGGAAGTATGGAAATTGGCAATAAATGATAAGCTGACATGTATATTAAAAGTTAAAAGAGGTATATGGAAACAAAGTGATTCTGATGATGTATGGAGAAAATTTATTGAAAAAGGATTCAAAAATAAAGAAGGAAAGTTACCTCCACAAGAAGAATTGAAATTTTGGACAGATGACATGTAAAAGCTGTGGCTTGAGAGGGGGGGAGGGGAGCACAATGGTGAGGGATAGAAAATATGTATAAGCAGAAAAATAACACTAGATGCCAAAAGTATGTTAGATTGTATTGAATAATATGTAACTGCTGTAAAACAATGTATAACAAATATATTAAACCATGATAAAATAATAAAAATATTTTTAAAGACATACAACAAGATACAGAGTTAAAATACGAGTTAAAATCTGATGAAATACATATTAAAATTCACAACTGAAAATAGTGATTTTTTACTATTCATAACTTCATTCTAGGAATCAGTTATTGCCCCTATTTTCTACAGCAGCCTTTCTCAGTTTTCATTTCCTTAAGAAAAACTTAATCATAATGTTTAGGTTATAAGGAATACCTGCATAAAAATATATGTTCAGCTCAAAAAAAGAAAGTTAATCTATCCCCACCCTACTTATTCACGCTCTTTCACATCCCTGGTTGGGAAAGGATGTAGACATGAATACTTCCAGGTATCTTCTCCTGCTAGTAATGAACCTGATCGGCTGCTTTTATCTTGTATTATATTTTGGTTTGTTGGTGATTTTGGGAGAAGGCACTGGAATACAGGTGCAGAAGGCTCAATTAGATATGATGAACATAGTTCATTATCCAGACAAGGGCTATACAACCTGAGGCCTTCCAGATGTTTGGGCCTCCACTCCAGAAGCCCTAGTCAGCTTGTCCAATGCCAGGAACAGACATCCAACACACCTGGAGATCTGCAGGTTGTTCAAGTCTGATCTAGACTATATAGCAGCAGGGAGCTGTCTATGTAGACATTTTCATAGAATCATAGAACAGTAGAGTTGGAAGAGACCATGTGGGCCATCCAGTTCAACCCCTGCCATGCAGGAAAAACACAATCAAAGCACTTGAAACTATATTGCATCTTTGAAATGAAACCTAATCCCCCACTGTGCTTGGAGAGGATTCAATACAATATGAAAACAAGCCCTTGTCTCTTGAAAGCTTATGGTGCTGGGAACAAAAGTCTTGACTTGGTTTGATTCTTACAAGACACTTAAAAAGCATGTCAGATACAGAAGTAAGCTCAGTGTCTTCTGCTACATCCCTTGAACATATAACTGGATGGGAAGGTACATCTTCTTGCCCTATCTTTGTATCTGGCTACCTTTTTTCTGTACACCTCAGATGCAGAAACAAATTCATCTCAGACTAGAGAGAGGATTCTGCATTTGCACCTGCAATGATAGCACTAACCGAATTTCACACTTCAGCCAAATCAGCCACTCCAAGACTGTGGAATGACTTGCAGGAAGAGATTTGATGGCTATCAGAATTTAATACACAACTGGAGGCTTATCTCTTATGGCAGGTGTACCTATTAACTTCTAACTTAGGAATTTTAATCTGTATTTTATCACTTTTTGTCTTTATTTGTATCTTGTTATATATATTTTAATAGTGTGGTGTTTTATTTCCCTATCTTAACCATGTACCCTGCTGCTGCTGCTGCTGCTGTTATTATTATTATTTTGGCTGGAAAGGGATGGATTTAACTCCACTATAGGCCCAGGTTTCAGAGGAAGCACAGAATTCAAGTTGCTTGATAGATCTTGATGATAGATCTTGTTCTTATCTGCCTTAATCTGGGCACATACATTTCAAATGCAGAGTATTTAAAACATTTAAACATTAATAATGCTTACCCTCATCTTACCAAAGGAGAAAAATTAGTATCGAAGAAGTGTGGTTTTTTGTACAGTGCACTAGGAGCTATATCTACATACAGGGCATTGGACAGTTTTGGTCTCTGAAGAGGTTTGTCCATTTCACCCTTCTGAAATTTTCAGTTGTTGCTCTTGTTTTTAACAAAAAATAGTGAGGAGGGGGGAATTCCTTCTGCAAGTCATTTACATTGTTTCATGTGGGTAGTTTTGGTCTCAAAGGTGGGAGGGAGCATGTTCTTGATCCTACCTGGAAAGGATAATCAAATATTGAAACACAACTATTTATGTCCGTTTTATTTTGGAGATGGGTGGAGTTATATCATAATACTTGTATTTTTTTGTTTTTGTTTTGAAAATATCGTTTTGATTGCTTTTATTTTGTTTGTCAAAAAGAAGGTCTGTGAGCTACTTCACCTTGTAGGTTATATGTTTCCTGGCTGGAGGGGAGAGAGTTAAAGATTGTAGAAAAACCCTCCTGCTGTACCCTAAATCTGTCTGTATAATTGATGCATTGTTCTCCATGGATCCTATTGGAATTTTCACAGGGCATATGATAGATTGAATCTAAATGTCATTGAATACATATATTATTGTAAGGGAAAATTATGGGGAAAACATTGACTGTTTAAGGTGCTAGATTTCCATTTTGGAATACAGAAGACTTGCTGGAACATTGTCTCTTCGTGTAAACATGCATTCTTAAATTTGATGTCATATCTCTATGCCTACCAGTATTCAGATTTCATTTCGGAACTGAATATAAATGCAGAAGTTATGGCTACAGCAGCTAAACTGAATTTCTGAAACTTCTCTATCTTCTCTAACTTTTATACTGCTTAGACTGATTAAGAGCCCAGAGGAATTGAAAGGCTTGCATGTTTTTGACATTTTAATTGGTCATAATAAAGATACCACTTTTGCTTTTTATTCCTTTTTATGCAAGTTATAACTGATCAGTGGTAAAGTCCACCAACATGTCTTAACATGCAGGTGTTGGTGGGCAAGAATATTGTGGATTGTCAGGAAGTCCAGTATGCATTGGTGAGATGGACAGTAGCAGTAAGAGCAGTAATTGGTATTATTTTTCAGATAAACAATTCCTAACACGTTTTCCATCTCAAGTATTTAGCACTTGAAAACTCAATTTGCTAAATATCAAATTGTTGGTCTTCTGGTAGAAAACCGTGTAGTGCATATATTCCTGTCCTAGCTAACTTACTCACTGGCAATTGAGCCATGCCCTGCATTGCCTAAGAAAAGCTGCATAAATATTCTGTTTAAATGCTGAAATACATTTCCATCCTTGGTCATAGTAATCTTTTCCCTATTCTTTCAGTTGTACTCGTTGAATGACTACAAACCTCCTATTTCAAAGGCAAAAATGACACAGATTACGAAGGCAGCAATCAAGGCCATCAAGGTAGGAAGCTGAGTACTTTAAAAAACACTATGTAATGTGTGTGTCTCTGTGTGTGTATTTATAAAAAAAATAAATACTTGGTAGTTCTTGTTAATGCAATGTAGTGTATATAATTTCCTGATCTTGACCTCAGTTTCAAACTTTAATAATGTCAGAACCAAACAATTCTAAATACTGTGTAAAATTCATTAAATATTACGGATAAATTAAGAGAACCAGCATGATGTAGAAGTGGGTCTGGATTTCTGTTTGGAAGCACTGGGTGATCATGGGCAAGTTTCATTCTCTCATGTTTAAAGTAGGGCATTGGCAAAAAAAAAAAAGACTACAAACAAATCTTGCCAAGAAAACCCCACCATAATTCAGGAATGAGTTGAAGACATGCAGTTTAACATTCTGCAACCTCATTTACTGAAATTCCAGACACAAAAAAACTTGAACTGCATTTGGAAATTTATAAAACTCTATGCATATTCATGGAGCCTAGCACCCCTAGTTTGTTCATTCATTGGACAATTGTTTTGAGAGAGAAACAAAATTGTTGCCTGTTTTCCTTTTTTTTTTCTCTTTTCTCACTGACCACACACATAAATATGAGGATGTTTTTAAGTAACACAAGGGGACATTGCAAGTATTACGAACATAATCAATTTACATATATTGTAATCCTTAGGTTGTTTCTCTGAATCCCCTGGATTCATTTTAATATGTGAAGAATGTAGAAAGGAATAAAATGCACTTATGTTGAGCCTTGTAAATAGGAGGCTACCTCACAGCACAGCACTGTATACATACTTGAATGAACTGAGGCTAGCATGTTTATATGGAAATTATAATGGGAATATCATTTTTTTCTGCTATATTAAATGTAAAAATTCCTCTTTCTTTCTTTCAGTTCTACAAACATGTGGTACAGAGTGTTGAGAAATTCATTCAAAAGGTACGTTATGAAAAAATTTAAATGCAGGATTGCAGCTTTCATATTTTAAGTGCATATAAATCTAGATATGTAAATATTCAAACAAATGCATTGAATGAATGTTGAATTCATTCATAGAATATGTCTAGTAGCGTCATGACCTAAAGTCCTGTTACCTGCCATTTCAGTTCCTTGTGACTATGATTTATATCCTGAGACCTGGATATCAACCCATACTGTAACTGAAGAAATAGGTTTATGTCCACAAAAAATCATGCTAAAATAAAAAACAGTTATCTTTAAAAGTACTGCTGTACCCCCCCCTTGCTTTGTGCTTTTTAATCTAAAATATTCAATTGTCATGACAACTAAGAAATTTTTTCATAATATTCTTGAGTGAAATAAAGCTTTATTTGTTAATACTAAATGTATATGTACCACTTTTCGAATACAGCCTTCTCAGTTTGACTTCTGGCATTATCATTGTGCATTGTGTTAAAGTACAATATTATGTGAGGTACCTTTAGTCCACATATCTCTCTCCTACATCTTCCCAAATCTGTTGTGGGAAGCCGTTTTGTAGCAGATTGCACAACATTTGAAAGGTAGTGTTTGTTCTGTTGGCGTTCAGATTTCATAGCTATAAATAGATTTCACCCCATATTTCACCCTGTATAATAAATGAATGCTTGAATTTGTCACAAACTGGAATTCAGGAGAATGTAAGTTTATTTTGGACAAGAGTGTTCTGGCTGCTTTATCCTGCTTCCAGCAGGAGAGGCTGAAATAATTGTAGACCTTGGGTCCATGATTTGCCTTTTTTCTGGTGTGGATCATTTTGCATTGTAATTGTTGTCTTTTGTCTAGTCATTTATACTACAGTCAGTAAAAAATATATCATGTTGAATGATGATTAGATTTGTTGGAAGGCTTAAACTACAATCGTTCATGCTATCTTTTTTATTCCTTCATAGTGTAAACCAGAATACAAGGTTCCTGGTTTGTATGTCATTGACTCTATTGTTCGACAGTCTCGACATCAATTTGGGCAAGAAAAGGATGTGTTTGCACCTAGATTTAGCAATAACATCATTAGCACTTTTCAGAACTTATATCGCTGCCCTGGGGATGACAAGGTATGGTATCTTCTATTTATTTTCCTCAAATGTAAACAATTATCTGTTTATTTTACTTTTCTTGAATATAGTAGCACACAGATGTAGGCATACATGGAATATAATTTGTAGATGTTTTAAACATAGGTGTATACCTTATTTATATATTTATACCAGGGCCCCCCAAAGCTAAGGCCTGCAGCCCTCCAATGTCATTTATTTAGCTCCCACCCTAAACTTTAGACTTAGGTTCACCCTATGTCTGAAATGGCTTGAAGGCACACAACAACAACAACAACAATCCTAATTAACTTGATTATCTCATCAGCCAAAATCAGGCCCACACTTGAAATACTGGTAAATTTATGTTGGTTAAAATGGTCTATCATGTTTTTGCGCTACAAAAAAGATATGTGCAGTGCGCATAGGAATTCATTCATTTTTTTTTCAAACTATAGTCCAGCCCCCCAGCGGTCTGAGGAACTGTGAACTGGCCTTTTGCTTAAAAAGTTTGAGGACCCCTGATTTAGACATTTCGTTATTTTATAAACATAGTTGTTTATAGTAATATGCTTATGCTAATTGCGCAGCATTTAAATAGCATTAATTTTAGTAACATTTCAGCAGTTATAGTAATATTCCCAAGAAAATAAAACATTATACACCTATTTTAGGGAAGAGGTGGAATATTACATATTGTATCTGAGCTAATCTCAAAAAAATCTAAACAATTTTGGATTTCTGTTTTAGTGCAATTTAAGCAGTATGGTAAAGCAAAGAGGATAGCATTCTTGGTTTTAGTTTTTGTTCTTTATCTAAGTTGATAGCAACTTTGTGGACCTATGTCATTACATTACAGGGAGAGAGAATGGATATGAATTGAAATCCTTTTGAGTCATGGGATTAAACTGAGGTATTATGGTCTAAATTGAGTAGTCCTTTAACTGTGCCACATGGTCTTAAGAGAGTATGGCACTGCACAATTATGGCAGTTTGATCTCATTTTAACTTCTACAGCTCCATTCTAGGAATCCTCAGAGTTGGGATTCTGAAAATTCTGGGAAAGGTCCATCCTTGACTATAAGCATATTCAGAGGCAGAACCTGATAATATTTCGCATGTCCATGCAGTCCTCAGTACAAGGGACATTTTGCTATTTAAAAAAAACACGATTGAGTGGAAGTACAGGAACAATGCTTCCCTCTCAATTGTGGTAGGCAACTAATATTCCCTTCTGTATTCAGAGAGTTGTTTTACTTCAATTCTTGATTTGAAGTGGGTTTTTAAAATGATAGTGTTGAGATTAACCATATTGGCTGATACAGAGGTTGTGGCAGATAATGAAAGAAGCCTAGAAATGCAGAAGGAAATTGATACTCATGTGTATAAGAAGTGTAACGTGAAAGGTTTACTCCATATTCCCCATCATCCAGATGTTTTAGAAAGTCATTCAAATCAGGCCGGATTAAATCTTGCAGCAATCTGTTTAATTGACAATAATAGAGATTTGTATAAAGCCGGTGATAAAATGGTTTTATATTTTTTTCCCTTTAGAGTAAAATTGTTCGAGTGCTGAATTTATGGCAAAAGAATAGTGTGTTCAAAAGTGAAATTATCCAGCCTCTACTTGATATGGCAGCAGGAATTCCTCCTCCAGTTGTGACACCTGTCTTGCCTGGGACAACAGCTACTATGAGTAACAATACTCCAGGTGACAGAAAATTCCATAACTTTGTGTTGAAAGCCATGACCTGTATTTAATAAGGGAAGATGTGTGACTTCTGCTGAATATTTTTTATTGCAGTTGTTCATTAAATCCTGGTACATCCAGGTTGACACCTACCTCTTGTACAGAAGCTAAACACTTGAAAGTCTTTGTCTAATATTATAATATTTTACTCTTGGTATTTTGATATATTATTATGATTTGTTATTATAATGATGATGATAATAATAAAGCAAGAGAAAAAATAATCATATGCTATGTCTCAGTCAAGATTCTTAATCCTCAAGACTTGGGTTTTTGTTTTTTTTTTAAAAAAAACCTCTAATTATATGATGTATTTTGGAATCTCTACACACTGTTATGTTCAGCTTCCAAACAATATCGTTATTTAGGTAGGCGGTTTTCCTGGCACTTGGAGGGGATTTAATTCCTAATATTGGTTTCAGTTTATTCATGTGTTTGAAAGCATATTTGGGGATGGTGTGATTTTAAGCATTCACTTTGCCTTTATTACAATACAGTGTTATTTGTGAATTGGAATTCTGTTCTGAGATTGCAGCTTCACTGTATATTGCAAAATAAGAGAACTATCATTCTTTTTGAGAAGAACATAATACATGAGTATTAGATTTTCTTGGAAAATTAGATATTCTTTTGCTTTTGCTAGAATAATACACTTGGTTTTCATTGTGCTTCTTCTTTGTCCTCTCCAGCAGAATTGTGGCCACAAAGGTTACACGTGGTGGTGGTGGGGATTAGCAATAGGAGTAGTTTGGGCACCTGTGGAAGGTCCTAGAAAAGTTGTCCCAGGTGTGGAATATGGCCCCGGCCCACTGATTGTCCATATATAACTTTAGGAAGACTAGTATATGTGCTTTAATGCACGCAAGAAATATGTACTAATAGTATACATATTTTATACTTGTTAAGCATTCAGTGACTTACGTTGGTAAAATGCTCTTTATGTCTGTTGGCTTTCTGGTTGTGGAGGAATATTAGAATAGAGAATATGTTCCTCTGTTGTTTGTTATCATTTTCAGTAATCTTAGTATGGGTCCCATCTAAATTATTCTGTCAACCAAACTGATGAGGATTCTGGATTTTACATGCTTTGTTGAAATTTTTTTCTGAAAAAGATGTAAATGATTTTGGTTTAATTGCCTTGTTACCATGTGCTGCTGTTGTCTGACAATAAGTATGGAAAGAGACTTTTCTGCTTTACTCTTACTTTCAGGAACTCCAGTGACGCCAGCTACACCTGCCAATGTGATCCAGAGTTTACCTGATCCTTGGGTGTCTCAGATAACTAATACAGATACTCTTACTGCAGTAGCACAGATCCTACAGAGTCCACAAGGCCAACAGGTAAAACAGGTTCAGCTCTCCTGTAATCCCATGTTAAATAACCATGCTGTTTTAGTGATACAAGTAGTTTAAATTCATCAACATAAGAAATAAGATAAATCAAAATATAAATATTTATTCTCTTTTTAGAACTGGTTTTTATACTTGGATTACCAGAGGTTGATTTGTAAGATGAAAATTGAATAGAAATAATTTTCACCTTCTCCCCTTTCTCACAGATATGTCCAGAAGCACATATGAATCTGTGTTTTGTTTCAACATGAACATGTGGCATACTTGACTCAATCTTGATATCACGATCAGAATTTATTTTTAAGCTCAAATAAGTGTATATTACATTTAAAAAATGTTTTTTCTTCTTTTCTCCCTTTTGCCCATTCCAGCTTCAGCAGTTAATACAAACATTACAAATGCAGCAGCAGAAACCACAGCCATCACTGCTTCAGGCACTGGATGCTGGACTTGTTGTTCAGTTGCAAGCCCTCACTGCGCAACTTACAGCTGCCGCCACCGCCAATACCCTTAATCCGCTAGAACAGAGTGTCTCTTTTAATAAGGTAGAATTTCCTTTGTCAAACTTGAAGACAAGATTTAATTTAATTTTTAATCAGAAAATGCAATGTATATTTTCATGGATTTTGTCACAACAAACCCACAAGGAGATTATCAGTATCAACGCCAGGTTTTGGGTTATTCATCTTCAATTGCAGTACTTGATCCATTGTTGGGATCTGCCCAGCTCTGAGTGCTGGATAGTTGGATTTATTAACCTCAAATCCTGTCTTCTTATTTTAGTTAACAGACTGTATTACAAGGGTTTTTTTTTCCTTGCATCCTTGAGAGTTTTATCATTTGATCCAGGTAGACCATCTTGTAAGATTTGCTCAAACCCAAAATCAAGACACATAATACAGTTCTTCCTACAGAAGGTTACAAGTGTTTGGTACCATATTTAAATTGATTCAATGGTGCCTGTGCATTAGTACCAGAAAAACATGGAACATGTACAGGCACCATTGAATAAATTACATATTGTTAACAGGTTTGGTCTTCTTTCTATTTTTACATACACTGGAGTAGGAGAGCATCTAGAAGACACTACAGTCAACCATCCACATTCGGAAGGATTAGAAACAAAAGATCTCTTCATAAGTAAAAAAAATGCAAATTAAAAAACTGAAATCTGAAAGAACAGCTCTCTATGAATCTATAGGTCCTCCAGCACAAGTCTGTGGTCAACTTTACTGGAAGTTGACCGTATACTGAAGGATTATAAATTCCTAATGAAGTGTCCTCTCTAGGAATCTGTAGCTTCTCCAGCCTAATTCAGTTGTTGGCTTCTGACAAAGATGAAAATAGTCACACTGGAGGATGTAAAGGTTCTTAGAGCAAGCCACTGAAATTTGTGAATAATCAAAGCTGCGAATGTCAAATGTGTAAATGTGAAGGGCTGACTGAATTGTAATCGTTTTTTGATTTTTTTTAATCATTCTGAATGTTTAAAACATATCAGATACATGAAGTGGTTTCCATACAGTGGCATCATTCACAAAACACAAAACCACTTGTCAAAATAGAATTTTCATCTTCATGCAACTATCAGATACTTTGATTTTGCTTGCACAAATGGCTTTATGGCTCACTAAAATTTCATTATGCTACTTGTGTTAATTTGCAAACATTGATATACAGATTAGACATCAAGGGGAATGTAAATTCCTTTAGGTAATTTTGGTAATAACAGGATTTCCTATAAGATAAGGGCCTGAGCAGTCAGATTTGTAAGTTCAGCACATGTTTTTATTTTCAATTATGAAACAAGTGAGCCAAATACAATATGATAGGTAAAGAAGTGTGCATGCTATGGAATATAGGCTTATTTTATTACCTTTCTAAATAAGTGCTGTACACGCTACCAAATCTGACAACTGCTGAAGAGCACCATCATTTCTTGGGTTTTTTTTTTACATCCTAATAATTGGCTCACTGAATACACGCACACACACACACACTATATATATGAATCATTAAAAGTATTGTTTCTTGCTCAGATATATCCAGCAAGTGTGTCTTCTCTTTGTTATTGATCTTGACTTTGAAAGAATTACTTCAGTGGTGTATATCTGGTGCATTGCTAACACAAGTTTTCATTTCTCCTAGAAGCTGATGGATAGGTTTGGGGATTTTAGAGAGGATACTGATATTAACGAAGAACCTAAAAAAGAAACTGCAACTTCTAAACTGTAAGACTTGGTTTGTTTTTAATTAAAAGCATTTTATTCAGCATTTCTAGACTTATCCTTTGAGTAGAGTTGTGAAAGTTGGGCACTTAATTTGCCGCAGGAGGACATATAAGAAGTAGCAACCCTGTATACCAGGGGTCCTCAAACTAAGGCCCGGGGGCTGGATATGACCCTCCAAGGTCATTTACCTGGCCCTTGCTCAGGATCATCCTAAGTTTGAAATGACTTGAAAGCACACAACAACAACAACAACAATCCTATCTAATCAGCCAAAAGCAGGCCCACACTTCCCATTGAAATATTAATAAGTTTATATATGTTAAAATTGTTCTTCATTTTACTTTTTGTATTGTTTTTAAGTGGTTTTTGCACTACAAATAAGATATGTGCAGTGTGCATACGAATTCATTTTTTTTTTCAAATTGTAATCCGGCCCTCCAACAGTTTGAGGGACTGTGACCTGGCCCTCTGTTTAAAAAGTTTGAGGACCCCTGCTGTATACCCTTTCCTAATGCAGTACCACTTTTAAATGCCTGAATATGGAAATGATTGACAGGGGTATCAATATTGGCACTTTCCCATCTGTGCAGAATGACCCTTGACATATCCATGGATCATATAAGAATCCATCAGTTTGGTCCCTAAACCTCTTTTTTATAGTAATTTACACATGAGTCCCTTTGTAGAGATAGAGCAGAATACAAATAAAGTCTTATTGTTATGTATAATATTTTTTTCTTCAAAGATTTCTATAACTGTAATTTGTTTGAGAAACTGATTTGCTTCTTATATAAAGCGTTTTTGTATTGTCAAAGGCTTTCATGGCCGGAATCACTGGGTTGTAAGTTTTTCGGGCTATATGGCCATGTTCTAGAAGCATTCTCTCCTGAAGTTTCGCCTGCATCTATGACAGGCATCCTCACAACCCCTGAGGATGCCTGCCATAGATGCAGATGAAACATCAGGAGAGAATGCTTCTAGAACATGGCCATATAGCCCGAAAAACCTACAACAACCCAAGTTTTTTTGTTTATATATGTGTGTGGGTGTGTCCGCTTTCTACCAAAAGTGGTACTTTAGCTGGGTCACAAAAATAAAATAAAAATCTAATATAATATCAATAAAATATACCAAATAACTTAAAACTACCATTACAGTAATAAGAACTACCATATTTTCCAGCATACTAGATGACGTTTTAGGTCTGGAAAATATTATGAAAAGTTGGAGGTTGTCTAGTACGCCGGGTATAAAATTAAAATAATAACAATTAAAAGAAAAGAATAAAATCCAACTACCTTAGGAGGGAGGGAGGGCGGAAGAGGGCGGAGGGAGGGCATGGGGAGGAGGAGTGGCAGGCTGTATTGTCATGGAGACCGGCTGGGGGTGATCGCCCGCTGGGCTGTCCCCGTGGCCCCCGCCGCTCTCCCTGCTCTACTTTCATGGCCCTCCTCTGCCCCTGACTCCCACCTCTTTTGAAGGCCACTGGGCTCGTCTAGGCCCAAGGAAGCACCTTCAGACGACTCCCAGCAGCCGTGGTGGCAGCGTACCTGGGATGTACTTGCTGAGTCATTCTTGGAGTTTCCTGATTTCTATGGCTCTCAGAATGCCTCTGCGAGCACATCCCAGGCACACCGCTGCTCTGGGCTGCTGGGAGTCATCTTCTGGGTGCACTTCCTTGGGCCTAAGGTGAGCCCAGTGGCCTTTGGAGGAGGTGAGCGCCAGGGTGGAGGAGGTCCTTGAAAGTAGAGTTTGTAGAGCGGCGGGGGCTGCAGGGGCAGCCCAGCAGGCCATCACCCCCAACTGGTCTCCATGGAATGTGGAGTTGTCTTAAACTCTGCCTTTTGTGTTGAAAAGTTGGGGGGGGGGTCGTCGTATACCCCCAGTCACCTTGTATGCCGGAAAATACGGTAATCATTATTCAAGGCAGTTCAAATTTATTTCATCCACAGGCCAATCGAAATAAGGTCTGTCTGAATAAAACATGTTTTATCTGTGAATGGACAAAAATGAAGTATCTAATTTGAGATTAGCAGTCAGATCCACATATCTCCAGTCGATCAAAAGACAGGTCCTAAAACCTGGAAATATATACAGACTTCAGAAGGACCTGATCTCAAACTCTGTAAGACTTTATAGGTTGTAGCCAGGATTTTGAATTTTGCCTCAAAGCATATCATTAGCTAGTGAAGCTGTTGTAAGAAAGAAGTTACATGTTTGCTTGCAGAAGTCTAGCCATAGCATTTCAGATACAGATTCCATGGCAAGAGAACAGTTTTCTACAACAGTTATGTGCATCATAACCAGGATCTAAAAAACTGATTTGGATAGGTGCACTATGAATAATTCAAATAATAAATAAATGGAAGAGTAATGAAGTGTTAAGGGGATGCACTTGGGTATGATGAATGCCTCCCCCTGTCGTGGGCATATAGACAGTATGAGGAGTTGTAATGGAAAATAGACCAAAAATGAGACTTCTAATATTCTAATATTTGGAACGACCTTAGACCATGATTTTTGGATTATGTAATTTTAATGTTTATATTAATATGCTTTTAACTCCATGTTTTTATGTTTAAATATTGTTACATTTTTATGATCTAAGTGATAGCTATAGGTTATTGTTGTTTTATGTTAGGTTTTATATGTATGTAAGACATTAAATTTTGCCGTAAATATGTTGGAAACCACTTTGAGTCCCCCCTGGGGTGAGAAAAGCAGTATACAACGGAAGTAAATAAATAAATAATGCCTCCCTTTCTTCTTAATTACTTATAATGTAATATAAAATCAATTATGAAAGATAATATTTGGAAAATGTGCTCTCCTATAAATGGATATACTGTTATTTAGATAATTTAATAAGGATTTTCTTAATTGAAACAGTTCTTATATATATGATTAGCACAATTGGAAGTCTTCAAAAACTTCAAATATCTCATGTACCTCCCAAAAGCTGTGCTTCTACTTTTCAGTGTAGTTTTGTATATACAGTGTTCCCTCACTTATTGCGAGGTTATGTCCCAGGACCACCCGCAATAAGTGAAAAACTGCAAAGTAGGGACACCCCCTCACCTTCCTTCCTCACCCTCTTCACCTTCCTCTTCCTCCTCCTCGTCGATGTTTGGGCCCTGCAATTGAGGAGGCAGCGGAGATGTCGCAGGGCCCAAGCAGTGGCAAGAGGCCCAGACAGCGACGAGGAAGAGGAAGGCAAAGAGGGCGTCTCTTCTTCCCTCCTCACTACAATGTCCCCTTGCTATTTAAATTATTTATTTATACACACACACACACACACACACACGTGAAATAGCAAGGGAACACTGTATGTAGAAAGACAGTGCCTATTTGAGTGGATTGTATGTCAAATGTTGCATATGGTATTTTTCTTTCCCCTAGAGAATTTGGGAACTATTGAGAATAATATGAGATCTGGATTAGGGAAGTTGCTATGAGAATGAAATTTTCGGGACTACCTTTCTGTGAAGTGAAGTTTCTTCTGCTCGTGACAGATTGAATCCAGACTTTTCTCTCAACCTGCAGAATGTCTCAACAACTTGTACCTTAGTGCAGAATGTATATTTTTGCTGAACAAGGTTGTTACTGTAAAATCAAAAATGAATGTGACTGTTCCGATTATATATTTCAGGCCCCTTGTACCTGAATCTGTGAACAACTCACTTTTTCATCAGCTAGCTGAACAATTACAGCAGCAGAACCTGGAACATCTTCGCCAGCAGCTTCTGGAGCAGCAGCCAACAAAAGTATGATGCTTTTTAGATAACAAGTGTTGTGGATAATGGAAACATGAGATATACACGACAGTGATTTCAATCTGTTTAAATATCGAAATTGGAAATAGCTAAACTGAAAAGCAGCTCACCTTAGTGAACATTCTTGTTTTGAGTTTTAGATGGAATCATGTTTTCAGAAGTGCAGAAATATTATTCCCACACCTTGTGCCCATTTTTGTCAGGATGTTTATTCTGTTTGTTGCCATTGTTTTCTTTCACTTCTTTAACCCAGACATTTTTATTTATTAATTAATATCTTAGAGCTTTTTAGTTGGCTCCATTGTGTTTTGAACACATTGCTGAGGATAAACTATATGAGGAGAAACTGCCCTTTTTCCACATAGACAAGCACTTCTGACTCCTTTCAAAGCTGTTGCCTCCAAATCATTCAATGATAGGAGACTTGTTGTCAATGCATAGTGTTCACAAAATGCCTTCCCCATACTTCAGGTCAGCCCAATAGGAAAAAAAAGAATGCAAAAAAACCCCCACCTTATTTGCTTGATGAGAACAGATTTTGTAGATACTTCTCTTTGTAACATCAGGAGCATAATTGTTTTTTAAAGAGTATATTCCCTTCAAAAGTAAATTAATTTGTTCTTGAGGAAAGTGAATCTGTATATTGGGAGAAAGATGGGATACACACACGCACCCCCCCCCCCCAGCAGTTGTGTATTGATGAAAAATATGTAACAGTTTCAACACAAGATTCTGGTAGGAAAAAACCATAAAGCGGAAATTAGGTAATATACAGTATGGCTAATTAGCAAAATTATGCATTAGAACTGCACATTCAACCAAACTGAAAAATGGCACTGCAAACTTTTCAATGAAAGGACAGAAAATCAGATTAAATGCATAGGATAGTACTATGAATAAGTAGTTTTGCATACACTTACCTGCATTCTGAAATGACTGTATAACTTCAAAAGACCTTTCTTGAGGCAAAAGCTGCATAAGACCACTAGATGTCCCTCAAGCATTTCTGTTTAAAGATAGTTGTACAGTGGCATCAATCTAGACTTTTTCTACATACAAAAGGAATGTAATAATTATTTAGTTAATTCAGCAAACAGAATAATAGTCAATTTTTCACATGAATAGATTTTCTTCATTAATATTTTTTTAAATGCAGAACCTTCCATTTCAAGTACTGTTTCATTCTAACACTTGAGTATGTCCCTAAAGACCTCTATATCCATGCTGTTGTTTTGCAATAAAAAATTAAAGTTGGTCATAATTTGTCAGATTACTTTTACAGTTTAATATAACTATGATATTCTTATCTTCACACTTGTCTTTCACCAGTTCTGATTTGATGAAAATCTATAATGAGATAAATTGAAAATATCAATAAAATGCAGTGTTGGTGAGTTTGGTCGTAAATCGTTAATTCAGTTTTATGTGCATGTAAAATTACTGATTTTTCTGCACAACTAACCTTATGGTCAACTTCCACTTAAAACCGACAATAGCATTGTACTGGGGGGATCTAGAGATTCTTTGAGCAACATATTAATCAAATTTGTCAATGATCACAGCCACAGAAGTCAAATCTACAAATGTGAAGGACCAGCTGTATCTTTCATTTGGAATACTTGACAGCTTACTAATAGCATTTATTCAGTGGATGTCTGAATTCTGTGAAAAACTTAGAAAAAGGAAAGTTCAGACTAGTTTTTAAAAGTAGTGCCACAGTAGGTTAAATTAGATTACAAACATGTAAAATATGCCTAATAAAATGTTGCAAATGATAGACAACTATGCCCAATTACACTACCACTTACGCTGTCTTTTATCTAGGGGTTTGGAGTAATTTTGCTATATTTTTGCTTTCCAGGCTAGCCCTGAGGAAACACAAGAAGAAACTTTTGGTTCAGAGCATTCAGCATCCCCTTCACAAGACAGCAGCCATCAGCAGTTTTTAGAAGTTCAACCAAATCTTGATAGTACAATGGATGTTCAACAACAGGTGAAAACTAGAATTTATGATGTAATTAATGAAGGATGAACTCATTGGTTATAGTACTCTAGATCAGGGTCCTCATGAGTGGTGCTGTGCTTAGCCTAGGATTTCTCTTTCAGTCACTGAATGATATGTAAATGATGCACATCAGTAATAACAGTCAGGATTTCTTGGAATGTAGCAGGCACAGTGCTGATGTTATGTATCTTCTTTTCTGTGTATTGCAGCATCAAAAATAGAAGTCATGTATGTGCTGTCATTTTTTTTCTTTTGCTAGATTAGAAGAACTATTTTTCTACATCTTTACATGAATGTTTCATTTTCTCTATTCAGGATATGGACATAGATGAAGGCCAAGAAGTTGTTGAACAGGAAGTTTTTGAGCAAGAGGAGAAGAAAGCAGCAGTCATTTCAAGATCAAGAACACGTTCAAGATCTCGTTCAAGGTTTCATAACTTTGATTTCAGTTAATATTTTGTGTTTAAAAATCAAAAGGGGTTTTGAGTTTTTTTCTTGGTTGTATGTTTTTTGTTATGCTTCTTCTTTGCTTCCCTATGAATTCATAAGAAAGTAAAGAAAAAGCATAACAAAAAACATACAACCAAGAAAAAAAAACCTCAAAACCCCTTTTGATTTTTAAACTTAAGTTTAAATTAGGTGAATTTTTATGGACCTATATGGTCTTCTTGACAGCTGTATTAATTTATTTGTTTTACAGATCTCCAAGGAAAAGAAGATCCAGATCGCGTTCTGGATCTCGAAAGCGTAAGCATAGGAAGCGTTCACGCTCTAGATCAAGGGAAAGAAAAAGGAAGTCCTCAAGATCATACTCAAGTGAAAGAAGAGCTAGAGAGAGGGAAAAAGAACGACAGAAAAAAGGATTACCTCCTATTCGATCCAAAACACTAAGTGGTAAATACCAGCTCCTTGCAGTTTATAGTTTCCAAGAACTAAATACAAAAGAAACAGTTTGAACACTAGCTTAATATATATTTAATGGGCTTTTAAAAAGGGCTTTGTGTGGATGAGGATTCTTATAGCATAGAGACTGCAAGGAAATGTATGGGCTCTTCAGGCTACATTCTGTTGTGAAAATAGAAAGTGCTTGCTTGTTTTGGGACTTTGCCTCCTTCTCCCCCTTCATAAATGTTTGTACTTTTCTGGGGAACATTGATATCCGTACATTACCTCCTTAATACAGTGGGCCCTCAGTATCTTCGGTGGTTTGGTTCTGGGATCCATGGGATCAGTGGATTCTCAAGTCCCATTATATACAAAAGCATTGTAAGATGAATTCCCTCTTATAAAATGCTGAAAAATTCACAACGAGTGCTAGAGAGAGTGATGATCTGTGAAATAGGATTGACGGAACCATGATTAGTTGAATCTGTTGATGCAAAACCTGTATCTACACAGGGTGACGGTGTGTGTAGGAGAAAGGAAGGGAGTGGCAGTTGGAGTGCTGACCCAACTGGTGGGGAGTTGGCCTCGACTGGTAGCTTATTTGTCAAAGCAGTTAGACAATGGCCTGTGGATGGCCTCCATGCTTGAGGGCTGTGGCGGCTGCTGCAGTCCTGGTGGAAGAAACTAATAAGCTAACCTTGGGACAGCCGATTGTCCCAGCCAGTGTAGAGCAGGCATGGGCAAATTTTGGCCCTCCAGGTGTTTCAATTCCCACAATTCCTAACAGCAGGTAAGCTGGCTGGGGTTTCTGGGAGTTGAAGTCCAAAACACCTGGAGGGCCGAAGTTTGCCCATGCTTGATGTAAAGCAATCATGAGAATCATGAAACCTTCCACGTGTTGGACTGGAAATTTCCGCATCTCTTGCTTTTGACTTTGTTTAGGGCTCCTGATTCTTGTATCTCAGCTAGCTCTAGAGGGCCACATGATTCCCATCTCTAGTCTACATCATAACAGCAATGTTTAAGATCCTCCAAATAATGTTGAACTGAAGTTTACAGCATTGCTTGCCATTGAGGAGACAGGCAGGACCTAGTGCCCAATTTTGAAGAGCCACATTGTTACCACCTCTCCTGTATAGTAATGCAACTTCTGTTCCTTAAAGACTATTACTTCACACAGAGCTGTACAGGCCAAAGTTGTTTTATGAGTTGCTGCAGCCTTTTGTCTCCTTTCCTAGTTAATTGCACTGGGCATGTTTTGTTCTCTGTCTCCTAGTTAACAGAAGTATTCTTAATAGGCCTCATTTCATCACAGTCCCTAGATCATTTGATAGACAGTTCCCTCTTAACTCTCCTGATGGGCAAATATAGGCTTAGAATACAGTAACCTCCTATTTCATTTATGTAATTTATCTTAACAGTCTGCAGTACCACACTTTGGGTTGGTCAGGTGGACAAGAAAGCAACACAGCAGGATTTAACCAATTTATTTGAAGAATTTGGACAAATCGAGTCTATTAATGTAAGTGAAATACTCTGCCTTTTAAAAATACTTTTTGAAATGGATATATACATGTTACATAAAAGTTCATTTATACACTACAATTATATTCAAAGTATTAAAATTGTGAAATGTAATTTTCTTGGATTTGAAGAAGTGGGAGTAGAGATTTCCTTGCAAAAACCAGCTTTGCTTGCTTCACCTCTCAAAATGCTATTTTTGATAGCTAATGGCCTTTTACAATTGTATGGGGTAAGGTGTGGCATAAATTAAAAGGGAATAAGACTTACTGTTCATGCAGGAAGCTCTATGAATCAGAGTTAATCAGTTATCATTTTATTTGTTTCTTAATCTCCACCATATATAGATGATCCCTCCCAGAGGTTGTGCTTATGTCTGCATGGTTCATAGACAAGATGCCTACCGTGCTCTTCAGAAACTAAGCTCTGGATCCTACAAGATCGGATCTAAAATTATCAAGGTACTGCTCATCTTCAATATAAGTAATTTTAATAATATTTAACTGTACACTTTCATATTTTAGGAGAATATTATGAATATTGAAGACTTGGATGTTGAGGGAAAGTTTTTAAACGATAATCATATGAAAGAATTTTCCTTTCTTGGCAGTAATTAGATTCAAATGTTGTAAATATCAACATTGGGGGGAATATTAAAATAGTTGAACATAGGAAAATAGCAAGTTTGTTATGAGGACTAAAATAAAACTAGTGATTGTCCATTAAAGTAATCTCATCTATAAAGGCAATCACTGTTAGTGATGTGGACTCTTTTAATGCTTATGACTATTGCCCATAAATGGCAGACTTTTAGGTTCAGAACTATGAATGTATTTTAGTCTCTAATTTAAAGAGGATCTCCGAGGCCACATTCTAATGATGGGAGAGACTAAAAGTATATGTCAGATATGTCTTAAAAACTTTTTTCATTTTTAATGCTTTTAGTTATGAAAATCATACAGATAACAATGCATTACACTACAAACATTGATATTCTATAAATCAGTATAGATTACTGTTTACAATTTTTGTAAATAAGTTACATGTTCAGTTTGTACTTCAATATAGATCAGTTAGTTTCCCCTTAAATCCTCCCACCCCCACCTCCTTTCTTCTCACATATGTCAGATTTGTGAGAACTTATCTAATGTGTATAGGGGATGCAATTCTTAACGATTTGGATATTTTGAAAGGTAGTCAGGCATTTAATAGTTGAAACACAGACCAAAATCCAGTTGATCATTCTGATTAGTGTATGCTTGTCGAATCAGTTGCTGAATAAGCCAGTACTTACACTATTCCTGTGGATGCCGTGTATCTGTTCTGTTCAGCACATAAGGCACAGTAATTTAACTGAAACTGGAGAAAATCTGAATGCTTTCTGCATGCTTATGGTAATTAGAATGGATGTAATTATGAGAAGTAGAAGTATACATTTGAACACCTGTTCTCAGAATATTTCAGAACTAAAAATTATCTATCTAGATGTCACTATTTTAGTAGTAGAGAATTACTGCTATATAACCAACTTTTAGAGAAGTACAAAACAATTTGATTGCTGGGTTGCTGTGAGTTTTCCGGGCTGTATGGCCATGTTCCAGAAGCAGTCTCCTGATGTTTTGCCCAATCCATTATTGAAAATTTTTTTTCCCATGTCTATTTTGTAGCATTGTTGACTAGTGATTTTTTTGCTAGAGTACTAGTTGGCATTTCTGAAAGTGGAGAAAAATATATGAGGCTGATTGATAGATTGATATGTTCTAAGTGATATATCTTACTACCACTGCATTTTATTTTATTTTCAGATTGCATGGGCATTAAATAAAGGAGTGAAAACAGAATATAAACAGTTTTGGGATGTGGATCTTGGAGTTTCATACATACCTTGGGAAAAAGTTAAATTGGATGATTTGGAGGGCTTTGCAGAAGGAGGCATGATTGATCAGGAAACAGTAAATAATGGTAAGAATGACTGTAAAATTCAGTTTATTTTCATTTTTGTGTGTGTTGCTGAAGAATGTCTTTCAATGGTATGAAATGTGATCATCAGAATGATAATAACAGGTGATCTCTTTTCAAACAAATTAAAAAATAGCATTATGTTGGCAGTCAAGTTAAATGATGAAGTTGCAGTTTCTGGGTGAGATTTGTAAAAAATGTCTAGCTTTAGTCGTTTTTGCCGGGCCACCTATTGTTGTGAACTCATTCACTGGGAGGTAACATACATACTTGTGTAGAAGCCAACCTCATGTAGAAGTCAATGGCTTATCCATTACCAGACTTAAGGATTTTGCTATGATCCATGGATAAGTTGAGGGATGTTCTGCAAAGAGAGAAACTGCACCAATGTCAGCTTCAGAGGGTCAGCTGCCCCTGGCTGCCCCTGCCACTATTTTCCTGCTCAGGCATTCAAAAAAGCCAAAAGCAGTGCTGCGGTAGAGAGAATGGAGGTGGATCAGTGTTTCTTTTTGGTTCTCCCAAGATGGAATATGTTCTCACCTTTTCTCACTCAGAATAGGGGGGATGGTTCCATTTTTAAAATAAGAGTTAAGGCGCACTGAATAATTCAATTCATGTCTATTTTTTGCCTTAAATCTAGACTTATACTGTACATGAATATGTGTATTTATATATGTGTGATATATATCATATAGTAAATGCCATCTCGTAATATTCCTTTTAATTGCTCTGTAATTCTTCCCATGTAGACATTGTAGGCTTGTTAAAATTAGGAATACTAGATAATACTGTTCATAAAACTTTTTTTCATACTCTACCAAAATTATAATAACAGCATTGAGTAATAACAGAATTGGAATTGGGTATGGACAAGCAAGATCTTTGTGGTATTGGGAAGTCAGAAATGGGGGGCCCTGACAAAGAAAAATCATTTATTATTATTTATTTATTTAAAACATTCTCGCCCTTAAAGGGACTCAGAGCGGAGCACAACATACTAACGGCAAACATTCAATGCCGGGACATGAATTCATTATATGCATACATAACCATTAAAAACATTTGTTGCAACATTAAAATACATGAAAAAGTTTGATAACCATCATGCCAAATAATGTTCTGTAATTGACATGTACAAACCTTTGTCATAAGTAGCTTTTAGATTTATTGCATGCTATAAATAAAGTATAACATTGCTACCCAAATGTAGTAGAGCTTTTTTTCTTTCCATACATGCATAAAAGGATTTGTGATTATCTGCTTATGGATAGTTAGAAATTTCTGAATGTGTTTCCTCACTTTTCAATCTTTGTGAATATTTATGTTTCCAGTACAGTAGTCTTAAAGTGCTTATTACAAAATAATGATAACTTGTTGTCATTCTGTTTCCTTAGAATGGGAAACAACAAAAAGCTCAGAGACTGTAAAAGAACCTGTGCCGATAACGCAGAGTACAACTGTTGAAAAGACCTCTGTTGTAACAACACAAACAGAAACATACACACAGTCTGTCGCTATGCTACAGGTTAGTATTTCTTTCTGTTAACTACCTCAGAGATTAAATGAATTATCTTACATGCTTTTATAGCAGACGGCATGGCTTCAGAATAAATCTAGTTGAATTATTTCCAAGGAAATCTAATTTTTCTGATCTAGTTAATGCCTTGCGTCTGTAAAGTAACTAAATTGTGTAACTGTTGTAGGTCACTGAACATGCTTTCTTTTTTATTCTCCCTCTCAACAGATTCCTGTAGCACCAGCTGTGCCAGCTGTGAGTTTAGTTCCACCAGCGTTTCCTGTTGCAATGCCTGTACCTCCTCCTGGCTATAGTTCAATTCCGCCCCCGCCCTTCTTGAGAGCAAGCTTCAACCCTTCACAGCCACCTCCTGGTAAGTTGCTTTTTTAATTTAAAATATGAAAGTATTGTTATTATTGTATTAATGTCATTATTTGTTAAATATCTGTTTAAGTAATATGCTTATTTTCCTTGCATGCCATTTTAAAGTTTAGTTTAGGCCAGACCTACACAACCTGCAACTCTCTGGGTGTTTGAACTTTGGCTCTCAAAATTTCTGACAACTGGATAAGTTGGCTAAGGCTTCTGGGAGTTGGGAGTCCCAAACACTTGGGGGGTACAGTAGGACAGGCCTGGTTTAGGTTATAGTCCTTGCATAATGGAGTATAAATTGGATAGTGTTTCTGCTGGTGACTCATGTCCCTTTTGTAATCTCTTTTGTTCTCTGAAAACTTGCTCTAAAGCGTTTGAGGACAGAACATACTTTGCAGGGCTGTGAAAGTAGAAGAGGGGGAAAAAAAGTGCCATAACTGCCCAATGACTTTGGAAGCCTTAAACATACCTTATATAGGATTGTTACAGCATCCAAGCACTGTTTAGTTAAATATAATGTTTATCTTGCTGGAAGGCTGCTGCTTTATCATATTTATAATTCAGTCATCACTTCAGTACTTGCTGATTTTTTCTCTTCATATGGTTTGATGTATACAAAACATATAGTCAACTTCTTTTGATATCACTTTTATTGGATTGTTGTTTATTGTTACCATTTGGTTTGTCTAGGTTATATGCCTCCTCCGGTTCCACCACCTGGTCCTCCACCTGTAGTTCCAACATGTAAGGTTTTTTTTCCCTTTTACACATGATCAGTACTGTCTGTGGCCATTTTACAGAAACTAAACTTTGAGGTTTTATTCTTAGTAGGCTTACACCTTATTTTGTTCATGACGAGCAGGTTTGACCAGGATTTTCTTTCTACAAATGAATCCAGGACTTCACTAATCAAACTTAGATTGTTGATGCTTACTCATGAACAGTGGCAGGATTGCACTATAGAATTATAAGAAGCACAGCAGTTACCTTTCACCTACTTGTGAAGAGTTTTAGACATTATGGACTTTCTCAGTAAATAGCATTGTTATGTATTGTTTCCAAGAGGTTTGTTTAAGATGTGAAGACGATATATATACTTGCTGTGTGGTTTATTAAGGTAAAAAAGGCTGGGAAGTGGTGACCAGTATTTATTCTGTTTTCATTGAACTAGAGGTAGATATAATTTTATATCCTTAGTTGTTTCCATATGCTATACAAATAACGTGTTCATGTGTAAGTACTTGCAAGGAATAAGTGATTGTTTAGTTGTAATGTATGAAAAATCCATACTTCTATATATACATCTCCAACAGGATTCCATCATTATTTTAAATGGCTTTCCCCTATTTTGCTGGTGAAATGGGCAACTACCAGCAACATGGAAAGATTAGATTTAGCTGCTGGTTTTTATAATACATTCACCACATTTTTCTGTTTGTGAATTTTAATAGATCATAGGTAATTCATAAATATTTAATTAATTAGTAAATAAAAAGATATGTTTTGACCAGCTGTTACTACCTACTTTCATTTGAGTAGGTTGCATAGAATTGTTGTGTAGGAAGCTCTTATTTGATTGTAAATTATGCATTGCTTGTTTTTCAGCTCTTGTACAGCCTTCACTACCAATTGCTCAAGAGTCACTGAAAGATTTCAACAGCCTTGTTCTACCAGTGGGTACTGTTTCAAGTAGTCTTACCACCTCAACATTATCTGCTGGAAGTGTCTTCACTCCTCTTTCAAGTAGTTGCTCTGATGTGGATGAAAAAGGCTCTCACCTTGCAGACGTTCAGATCTCATCTAGTGAAAACAGAGCCAGTAAGTAGTACAGTAAGATTATTTGCCTCCATGCACTTATCTGAAAGTAAGCCCAGTGAAAATTACATCTGACTAAAGCATATTTATGGTTGTACTGTTAAAGTAATAACGCCAATGTGGATGCTCAAAACACGTGTATAAAGCAGTGTCCCAGTCTTTTGTGATTATTTTGAGAGAATAGATATTAGAATCCACACACACAATCTAGCTGAAAAGAAATGCTGTGTTGATATTAAAAGTTAAAGTCAGTTTCAGCAGATATACATTATGTGTCTGTTGCTGGACCGAGATGTTTGAATACTGCATATATATTAACCTCCTTCTCATTCAGAAACAGAGCAAAGGAGGAAGCTAAATTGTGTACCAGATTTTTTTAAAAAATGAGATGTCATACAGTAATTGAATTGTAGGAAATATTTGGTATTTGTATCAAGCTGAGTGCAGTGTAGCTGGTGCAGTAAAATAAGATAGACATAGATTATCTGCATTTTAGTAGAAGAATTCCTAAGGCTTAGTGTGAACAGATAATATTATAGATTTTAATTAGAGTTCAACCTGTATAGGTTTAATTTAATTATACTCTTGATCAGAACTGAAAGATTTGTGTTAGAATCCAAAGCATACTATGAAGGGAAACTTATTTGTTTCATAATAAATAGACTGATTTTTAATTTTATATTTTTGTATTTGCATTTCAGTGCAAGATGATGTTTCAAGTAGTTCTGGACTCATTGGAGGAGCTCAGCCGCCTTGTGTTTCAACCACTTCTGGACTTGGAGGAGGAATCCGGTCATCAAGTGTCTCAAGTAGTTCTGGGCTCGTACAGCCGCCCAGTGTCTCAAGCAGCTCTGGGCTTCTGACAAGACTGCAGCCATCCGTTGCATCAAACAGTTCCGGGCTTCTGACTGGTGTTCAGCCTCCAAGTGTGTCAAGCAGCTCTGGGATGTTAGCAGGACTCCAGCCCATGAGTGTCTCAAGCAGCTCCAGCCTTCTAATGGGACTTCAGCCACCAATAGTGTCAAGTAACTCTGGAATTTTGTCAGGAGGCCAGCCTCCGATGGTGTCAAGTACTTCTGGGCTTTTGACAGCACTTCAACCACCTATTGTATCAAGCAACTCTGGCCTTCTGGGATTGCCACCACCAATTGTCTCAAGTGGTTCTGGACTGCTAGGATTACCACCACCAAATATTGCCAGTGGTTCTGGATTATTAGGGCTGCAGCCACCCGCTGGAATTCAAACTATGCCCCATTTAACACTTGCTAGTCAACGGTTGCCTGGAATGCCTCTAGTTGATATCCGCTCAGGACTAATGGCACAGCCACCTGGGCCAAGATTTCCATTGCTACAGCCTGGAATACCACCACAGCGTAGCATTCCTCCTCCAGCTATCCTTGACCCATCGCTTCCTCCACCCAGAGGTTCTTTCCTTTCAGGAGACCTTTTTACTCAAACAGAGAGACCATTTGGCAATTGTGGTAGGCAAACAATTGACAACCTTTCTAATCCAGATAAAAGATTGCCACTTGGAGATGACAGCATTCAACAAGAGGGAGATAGAGATTACCGCTTTCCTCCAGTGGAAAATAGAGAGAACCTTAATCGGTCATCCCAAGGAGATATTAGAGAGTCTGTTGGCAGGCCACCATTAGATCCCAGAGAGGGTCTTGGAAGACCTTCCGTAGATGGAAGAGAACATCTTGCCAGGCCAAACCTAGATTTAAGAGAGAACTTTGGAAGACCCGGCATGGATAACTTCAGTAGGAGGGACTATTTTGCTTTCAATTCAGATAAGCATTGGGGACAAAGAGGAGATTATGATGAAAGAGAGTGTCGTGTTTTTCCTGCATATGGTGGTCTTAAACCTTTCCAGGAAGACAGAGAGAGGTTTCGACAAACCAATTTTCGATTTGAACCTCGTGGTGGTCCTAGCTGGAACAGAGGACTTGAACAAGATACTCACAGAGACTTTGATGACCGCCGCAGACCATGGGAAAGACAAAGGGACAGAGATGATAGAGATTTTAATTTTGGTAGAGAAATTAATGGAAATAGGTTTGGAAGAGAAAGAATACAGAACAACTGGATACCCCCTCCGCATCCAAGAGTATTTGAATATTTTGAAGGTGGCACTTCTCAAGAAAAAGCTGACAGTATGCCCCAAATTAATGGTGAAAACACAGAGACAGAAAGTCAGCCATCTGGTGTGGAAGTACAGGATGAATCGGAACTGTTTGAAAAGCTGACACCTTCAGGTGACACAAACAAAGAGAAGAGTGACACAGAAGCTGAATTAGAAAGTGAACCAGTGGTAGAAAGCACAGAAACTGAGGGGACATAATCATCACTCAGTAGGTAAAAAGATACCTTTTGTAAAGTTGTCATCTCTCTCTGTAATAGATGAATGGCTGACTGGACCTTAGTAGTTCACTTTTGTCTGCCAGAATTAAGTTAATCTGATGTTCATCTTTCACTTAAATAGCTGTACAACTGACTTGTATAGAATATTGTTCTTAATTTGAACATGGTAGGTAACCTTTCTTTTCTTTTCTTTTAATTTTTTTCTGACAAACCTACCCCACTTGCTTTTATTTCAGAAGGATAAATAACAGCTTGTCAAACAAAAACTTCCTATGGAAGAAATGGAAATTTTAGAACTTGCTATTAGGTTGGCCATAGAAATACTTGAAGAAAGGTGCTGGTGTATCTTGTCCAGATTTTTAGGCTGCTGCAAAGTTTTAAAGCATAGGTAGAGTTGTGATCCTGTATGTCCCTGCAGTTTGGCTAATGACCAAAACCAATTCAAAATGGGAAAAAGGAGCATAAATAATACAGAGATGGTGTTTTTCTTGAAATTTCTGCATTATAGTCTCTGTTTTTCAAAAGTAAGTGTCTGTGATTTGTTCCTCGTACTGCAGTGGGTTAAAAAAATGAAAATTAACAATACGTTTTAATGTTTTTTTAGATGCCAATAAAACATTATTTGTTTGATAAGCATTCTAGGTATTGTATTTTTTATATACAATCTATAAAACCCTGGACGAACTGTGCTTTAGCTAATTGTTGCAAAAGGTTTATAGTACTCTTGTAAGACCAGTGCAACAATTAAAATATGCTACAAAAGCATATGCCTTTCTATTAAAATGAGAAAAAAAATCATGGAATCACGTTAGTTTATGTATGACATGTATGTAAATATTTGTGTAAAACTGTATGTAGATACCACTGTTTCTGTGTGTGATGGTGTATGTGCACACACTCACAGAATAATGTAGACAGTTAAATAAAGTTGGAATGGAATTAGGTTATAAAATGAAATTTTGTCATTCACCTTCTTCAGGCAGCAAGTTAACTAGAGGTTAATATGAATGGTTAAATCAAATTAATATTTGCCTTTCTGAATTCATGCTGTTGTAGAAGGTGGGGTCTTGTATGCTCTAAAGAGTATACAGTAAGGCTTTAGAGCTGTCGGTTTTTTTAAGTGTGAATATGTATGAAGTGAAAATTGAAGCAAATGTTTGAACTATTCTTTTTTTGTAATACTTCTGGTGTTCTGAATAGAAAGTGGTAGCATTAAAATACTTTGTGATTATTTGCTTGCAGTGAATATCTGGTCCATAGTTACTGTCCAAACTATATTGAGTCATTTGATCAACAAAATATTTTGCCTTAAAACTAACAACTGACCATTAAAATGGTCAGAATTTTACAGTACTTGGTACTTGCTTACTGGACGTAAGTTCCATTGAGCTCAGTGATAGTTATTTCAGCGTATACACGCATAGGGTTCCTTTGTTATATAAATGAATTGGTTGTACAATTAACACAATTCTGATTGATCTGTTTTGATTTTTGACTTGTTTCATACCTTTATTGAAACATGTTTGAGAAAACCAGTTGCCAAAGCCCCTATTTTGGGTGCTGGCATCTTGGGATTCATAATTTTGTGTTGTGTAGTTTAGTTTATTAAAAATTGGTAGAGCTAGTTAATCTTGACCCTTTGTGATAAAACCTGAGGTCCTATTTGACTTGTTGGCATCGTTCTGTCATTTGGACCTTTCTTTTTAAAAAGAAAAAGTTCTTGATACATTTTTTTCTTAATGCAAGCTGGAAAAAGAATCAAATAATAGTAGAGAATATGCTCTGAAAAGTAACATTATTTAGGAATATCTTTTGTGATTGAAAGAAAAATATATACTGGTACTTTACTTCAAACACCACAGGTCTGTTAGGTTTAAAGTTAATTTCTTTCGAAGTTGAAATATTTGAAGAGTCCCAGAGAGTCCATGTTCAACTGTGTATATACCCAGCAATATCAAGGTACTTCATACTGCAGAGAAATTTAGTAATGAGTGTTTGAAAGGAAGTCCCACTTTGCAATTACCTTACTCCTTGATTTGTTTGATTTTCTTTACTTCATTCTTGAATAGTTTCTGGTGCATTATTGCCTATCGGTCAGGTTAAAAAATATGAAGCAAATTATAATAACGATGACTGTTTCAGGGGATTCAGATAAATAGATCATCTTAAATTATAGCAGAGTAATTGAGTCATATCGCTGCTCTGTATTTTTCAGTAAGACACAGTCACACTTGTATTTAAAGTAGACTTACTGTATGCAATGTAATAGGCTGAATATATTTGAATAGCCCAATTTGAAAGAGAGAGGGGTTACATAATTCAAATAGAAGTAATGTTCTTTAGATCTATTAAAATATTTGTGTTTAGTTGCATTGCTGGTAAAAAAGTTTGGTTAAAGTAGCTGTGTTAAACAGTTCTGCAAGTCTTCAACTTCTGCAGCACTTAAGATAATGCCTGCTGGAATCATTATTTTATGGAAGAGCCATTCTTGTAACTGTAGAATTTTCACATGGTTTATTTTTAAGCATGTTCAAATAATATCATTTCATAAATTATAGAATATTTTGGATATGAACGAATCCTTGTATATTCCACTTTAAGGTGGTGGCGAGATGGGCATTGTAAATGCAGCAGTATCCCAGCTCTGTCATTCAAGTGCTGCTATTATCATTACCCTTTCTGAATGCCAGGTCTGGGAAATGTGGTGATTGGCTAAGCCCCTAAGATAGAATTGGTAGTTTTGTCTCTGCGGGAATGACCCTTGACTTATCCACACAGGTCATATCAAAATCCATAATTGTGGCCCCAAACTTGTCTTCCATTTATATCTAAGGTCAACTTATACATGAGGTATATATGGTGGAAATTACGCCCAGATTAGGTAACATAGTATATTTTGGTTGGGCTATATTGATCTATCAGCAAATACATAACAGATTCCCAAATTTTAAACTAATATCCTATACAAGCTTAATTCATAAATTATTGTGCTATTAATTCAGCATAATGGTAGCCCTACCTGAAGATACATTAAATGTTATGTTTTATTAGCATGCTCAAGAAAACCTAACTGATGACCATGGATGTGAATTGTGTATGAAATACTCTGCATTTCCTTAGCAACTGAATTGATAATTGAAATTATCTTAGAAATATTCTAACTAGAGATGGGAAGGCCTGAAAAGGGGGGGGGACAGCGCCCCCCCAAGCCATTTTTTTCTGGCATCTTATTGTCAGTTTTGATTAAACTGCTGAACATAAAGTTGTAAATTATCAGAAGCGACAGTGTAGATTTCCTATAATTCATACTTGTAAATACTTTTCTGAATAATACAGATTTTCAAAATGAATGTTTTACTGTGAAAATCTGAAATCAATTTTAAATTGATCTTTAAAAAATGTATTTTCTTTTAGGACACTAAATTGATTGGTTCACAGATCTCATTGTTTATGCAGAATTATTTAAATATGAATCCAGTGAGTTCATCAAGACATATATAGATATACAGCCTTGAAATACAATGAACTTTGAGCACAGAAATTGTGCTCATTTGCGTTTTAACCAAACCACCTTTGTTTTGATTATTACGAGCTCTTGACAAGTTTTTGCAGCTATTTAAGTGATTCTCTAAAATGAATGTGTCCAGAAAGTTTTAAAATGATATTCTGCTGTAAATATAAATGTGCCATTTTTCAAGTGAGGAGAACTGCAATTGGCTAATCCCTGACACTCCATTACTTGTGATTTTTTAAAAGTTATGTTATTCTGCTTTACCTTTTTCTAATTTAGTCTTGTTTACTTTCTTTAACTATATCCTTACTGTGTGCTCTAAAAAGTTTAAAATACAAGAGCTATATTATCTGTATAATCTTATAGATTCAGTGCTAAGAAGTTTAATACATGCGTTTAAGATCTCTGAATATTTCACTTAACAAAATGTGAATCTTGCATTCTCCTCCCTCCCCCTTAATTAACTTAGTCAAATCATTTAGCATAATTATATAAGTGTTGTACAACCAAGTGTTGTAAGTTATGTCCAACCATGGAAGAATTAAAAGTGGAAAGGATCTAACATGACAACATTCTCACATTGGCGTCAAACATCCTATGACTGTCTGTACTTGGTTTTTCTTGTCACTCTTCAGTTTGTATGTCCTACTACAAGACTTGAGATTGGAATCTTCCTGTATCATGGATGGATGAAATTGTCACAGTACAATGCTAGAATTAAAACTGGTCTCAACATATTAATGCCATGCTTTGCATTTCACTTCCTGTCTACTTTGGCTACAAGGAATGTTTAGAACAGTCAAACATCTGAACATATGGCAGGGAGGGTGACAAGGCAGGAGGACATGGAGAGGAACAGTGCAACACCGGATACTTTGGATCACCGGATACTAGATTGTTAGAAATTCATGCTGATGGTCCTTTCCCTGGTGGAGCATTTCCAGGGGATTTGTGTACTGAAGCCAAGACATGTTGCTTCCACCACACAAGGCTGCACATGATGAGAATTTGGAATACTGAATGAATAAGGGCTGCTGTGATCTGATGTTTTACTAACCTTTCTAATAACCTGGAGAAACATTTCTGTCATCAACTATAATGCAATAGTATTGTCGTAAATTGAATGTATCTGCAAAGAGACTTCATTCTCTCTGCATTTAACTATCATTTATCAACTGAAAGGGAGGAGCATTAAAAGATGGGTTTGATAAGGCGAGAACATATACATTTTATTTCTAATCTGAGAAATGTATTATTGCTTGGCAAAGAAATAGAAAATTAAATGTTCTGTTATAATAATAGTAACAACAACAACAATAGTTTTATTTCTTGCCCGCCTCTCCTCACGGCTCGAGGCAGGTTACAGCATTACTAAAATATAAACAAAAAATAATCATTTTAAAGCACTCCATAAAATAAACACATGAAAACATACCTCCATAAAATACATAACAAAATACACAAAACAAAAACAAGGCA